TGCAATAGCTCAGAATATGTGCTCAGTCGTTACATTTTCCCTTTAAAAAATAGCACGGTCAATGATAAAATCGTTGAACTGCGTATAGGAATGGAACCTAGCTCCTTAACAATTTTAAACCAAGCTTAATCCACCTCCACATTTACAAAAAAACTAAATGTATAATCCAAAGGACATCATCTTATCATTTCTCCACATTGAACATATTTACAGGTTTTTTTTCATCATACAGGTGAAGGATATGGAAGTGATAACAAGGGCAGCTGTCAGTTGTCTTTTATGATCCTGGAAACAAACACAAAATTCATATTTTCGCAGTTTTTAAGGTTTCGATTTCAAAGATTTTTTCTTTTTTTTTTTTCAACCACACAGATTTAAAAAAAAAAAAAAATCCCAATACAACATATTAAAACACATAATAACAAGAGTCTACATGTAAAAATATAAATTTTACATACACGATTCCAAAATAATAATACGTTTGTCATTTGTTGCATAAAATTTACAAATGCAATTGTCGTTTTCTGAATGTATATAGCTGGAGGACAGATGGACATCTAGACCGTTTTTTTAATGGCATTTTCACAGGGCTAAGTGTCGATAATCCTACCTAAGTCATATTTCATGCCAAGTTGGTGTGACTGGGATAAAAAAATGTTTTAATGAATTCATGGTAAGGACGGCACATATACTGCATATCATAAAAAGACTTTGCAGTTTGTGACTGGGTCAGTACAAGCAAGCTTTTGTTTAGTTGCTTTTTTGGGGGGAGGGGGGGGGGGGGAAAGTGACACCGAGTTGTCAAAAAATGAACCCACATTCATACTGGCCCAAGAAAACCTTTGTTGCCACACTCGAGAAAGTGCTAGATGATGCTCATCGGGTCGGCTGATACACTTCTTTACAAATGAACACCACCAAATTTTTATATTTTTTTCAAAATGGCAACACGTGCGGTCTCTCCCCTGGCGCTTATGAAATAATTTCCGACCGCTTTATCAGAAAAAAAAAAATATTGTTGCATACCGCTTTAGCTACATATGTAGTTAACACTTATAAATTGGTTAGCTATATCACAGCCACTTAAGTTTTTTGTTTTTGTTTTTTTATTTTTTTTTGTTTTTTTTATTTTCTTAATGATGATATAAACATTGAAAGGCACAGTGGTAACATTTTGTAGCATTCTAACCTTGTACCTATGAAAAAATCCCAGAATAGACTTCGAATGTGCAGCTTTTACATCGTGGCAAAAAAAAAAAAAAAACTTGAGATGCCACGTTTTTTTATAGGCTGCCCAGAAAAAAACTATGTACATGGTGTGACCTAAGACCTGCGCTCCCAAAGACTGGAATTACGACTCTGTTAACTGAGAAGCAACTATAGGCTCAGCGTATAATCCTGCATCACCTCCCTACAGAGTTCACAAGACAAGTCGCAAGAACAAAAAACAAACAAAAACGAAAATAAAACAAAACAAACAAACAAAAAAAAAAACAGAAGACACACACACAAACCTATTTACAGTAAAGTCTCTTTTTTTAAAAAAGTTATTCATCATTAATATTTATACAGAAGCAAAAACAGTTTTTTTTAAACAAATGAACCAAAAGTTTACCATATGCACTACATTTTCATATATATTTATATATATATTT